GGGGGGGAGCTTGAGTCACAGTCTGTGCTGTCACCTGCAGCGGCCCACCTGCAGACAAGCCTCCAACTGGTGACAAGAAACTCCACGCAGCATGGTTCCATCGTGCTTCTTATCAGGAACATTTCATCCAACATGGCACAACAAACAACACCTCAGCAGCTAAACCAGCTTGTGCTGAGACAAAAGGAAGAGAGGCTGTTTTCGGTCATTTTGCTTTTCTAAAACCAAGTTTTGTTGATGTAACCTGAAGATGTAGGGAACAGCAGGATTAAAGACACAGTTGTAAATCTAGAGCAGATTTATTGTTTGAAAAAAAAACTGTCAAAATGGGTTTCATGTATTTCAAACACAAACTCTGCATTTTTTGCAAAAAAATGTAAAAAAAAAAAAAAAGAGCAAACTGCAAAAATGGTCAGCTTGGACTTCATCCTAAATCTGTTACTAACAGCAACAAGACACTGGAAACAGTCGTCTCTCTTCCTCCATGTTTTCTCATGTTTCTTCTGTTGTGGGATACTTTGTCGTTGATTAACTTGATTTTAGATACAGTTTTAATTACTTTTCGATCAGTAGTAATCATTTACTTTAAACCAGTGKTTCCCAAAGTTGGGGTCCTGAAACATAAAGGTGGGGTCCTAAAAAGATTTTCTGAATCAAACACTAAAAAATGAGAACTATCAACATATTTTTGCCTTTGTTGTTACAAAAGAGTAAGGTTAGTGTATTTACAATGGACAAAAAATAGCATAATTAATATTGTTAGTATGCCTTTGTTTATTTGACGTGATAACTGTTTATCAACTAACAACAGCTGGGGTCTCAGGTCTCTGCTGCTGCTGTTTCAATGGTCAAAAGCTGAAAAGTTTGGGAACCACAGGAAGAGAATCATCTCCTCTCTCCAGCAATGCAAACATAACTGTTTGCATTTCGGGGTGTAGAATGGTTGTAAACATACTTCCTTGTTTTAGGGTATGACATCATATCACACCAGGTTTTATAAAAACATTGTAATGTGTCGTGATGGGGGCCATTCAAGGCYGAGTACTGGACCGGTCGTCGGCRCCTGATTCAGGTTCTCATTTCTTTTCACTGTATTTACCACAATGTGCAACATGGTTATTTTTTGTTACAAGCTAAAGAGACGTGTTTGGTTTTGAAGATTTTAAAGTCAGAMAGACCAAAAAGCAATCATGAATGTACGTCACAATTYGATGTAATTCAGGATATCTTTTTATGTTTGGTTTAATAATTAGTGAGTCGCACATCAAAAGATAAGTGTATAACTGTATTACTTAAAAAACGTTTAATACYGCAAGCATGTAGTAGTTGATAAAGGAAGGAATAAATTAGCTAACCTCTAACTAATGACGTTTTTTTTTTGAATAAGTCGTGTTTATTTAAATGAGTAAAATGTGATCAGGAGACCTTGTTTCTGTTCTTACAGTCAAAGCTGTCTGAACCTAATCTATTTGTTAGCTCGGGAATTGAATACCTCAGTATTTGATTTKTCCAAAATCCAGCTCCCTATTTGTTTATCTATTTATTTCTTTTTAGTCAAACAAGATTTGGTCTTTTTGATTTTAATGTCTGCAAAATGTCTGTTTTCTGAGTCAGTGTTTAAACGACTCATCTTGTTTTATGACACAGGTTTCATTACGTTTTTATTTTTATATCACAGACACCTATTAAAAAAAACAGTGACCTAAAAATAACCAGTGTTTACAGATTGAATATCACAGTAGTAGTGTGTGTGTGAGTGTGTGTGTGTGTGTCACCGTGATGACACAATCCCCTCTGGCATCACTCCTTAGATAGAAGTGTTCCTCCCCTCCACACACAACTCACCAGAAGAATTTGTGTGCGACAGTCACACAGACACTCCTGTGTCAGGGAGACAGATAGAAGGAGACAAGTGGAGATGGAGAGCGGAAATAAAAATGTAAAAAAAAAGAGGAACTGAATTGAACTTAAAGCTGGAGGTACAAAAGAAAGAGATTGAAGTGTTTGATTCTTATTATGATTTCTGCAACTGACAGTGTAATTGAAGCACTCTGCAGCCTAAAGGAACTTTTGATTAAAAGTAAATTGGATTGGTGTTGGCAGATATCTGMTGGTGTCTCTGACATTGCTGCAGGCCTGAGCTCAGGTCTGATGTGGTGTTTATAGTTTATTCAGTACAGCTCACTATGGAGACATAAACGCCCTCATGAACCACTGATTCAATTTTAAAGGGGGCGTACGTATGCTTGTATTTTTCAGGCACATTGTTCAATTCTATTCTACAGT